GTTTCCTAATCAGCAAAAAAGGGAAAATACTACTCCCTACTTTATAAGATCGTGGTCAGGTTAAAAAGATACAGTAATTCTGGAAGGCAGAAATCTACGACGGTTCCCGAGAGTCCTACCCTCCCCCCCCCCCAGTACAAACCTGCATAATCTCTTCCCCTTGAGTGTGGGTGGGACCTGGCAATATGATGGGTACTCACTCCTGTGATTACTGTTACTTATATAGGACCCTGTCGTGGCAGACTGGGGAGCCTCTCTTGCTGGCTCTTAAGAAGGAAGCTGCCATGTTGTGAGAGGCCCACATGGCTAGGACCTGAGGGTGGCCTCTAGGAGCTGAGAACCATCCCAATCCAACAACCAGCAAGAAAACAGGACTTCAATCTCACAGCTGCGAGGAACTGGATTCTGCCAACCATCTAAATGAGCTTGGCTTGGGCCCCGAGCCTCAGATGAGATCACAGCCCCTGCAGACTCCTTGATTCCAGCCTGGGGCGGGGGGGGACCCTGAGCAGAGAGGCCAGATATGCTGTGCCTAAACTTCTGACCTACAGAAACCATGAGATTATAAGCTAGTTTTGTGGTAACTCGCTACTCTGCAACTGGAAATTAACATCATAATCTTAGTTTGAACCAAATTGCTACTCAAGTAGGTCAAAAACAGCTGAATATAGGCAACTGCATATGGTTCAGCCTAATACAGATGTAAAGCACCTAGCATGTAGTGAGCACTCAGTAAATCCCACTGTTTTCGTTCCCCTGGCTCCACTAACAGGGGCCTTGGAGTATTCAGTGGCTGGATGGACCTCTTTTTCCCAGCACTGGCTCTGATTGCTGCCACGCCCAGCTCCTCCTTCCCCAGAGCTGCCCTCCCCATGCCTGTCAGAAGAAAGCATTCAGAGCCCATTCACACCCGCTTCTGAGAGGCCCAGGGCACAGCTCCTGAGCTAGGCTGCCTCTCAGGCCCCAGGGCAGCAAACCGCCAACCTGAACAGACAGCAGAACAACAGCTGCCCACCAGCCCCGCCCACTGGCAGGGACCAGAGGGCCGCTTGGGAGATCCCAGCAGGGCCAAGCAACTGCCCACCTCTGGACCCTCCCCTCCTTGTCTTCCCGATGGGTCTCAGGAGCCCCACCATGTGAAACTGTGTATCTCTTCTTCCAGCAGGACCCCCTTGGAAGTGCAAAGGTTTCCTGTTACATAAAAAATGCAAATCACTCTTTCTAAGCAACACGCTGCTGGTCCAGATCCCTGCATAGAGAGATCTGAAAAATAGTGAGGACTTTGGGGCATGGGACTCCTGGATAGCTGAGTTTTGACTGGGTCTGGCAGGGAGGCTAACAGTAAGGAAAGGTCTGGAAGAGACCATCAGAGGAAGGAGAAGCTTGTGGCTCACATTTTCTACAGTGTCTGCTAGTGTGTGGTTCCACAAACCTTTTACCCTACTCACCCCCAAAACCACCCCTCAGAATCTCTAAATGTACACGATATGTCAAATATATCTCAATAAAGCTGGAGGGGGGAGGGGCGAATAAGAATCTCCAGATGGTTCAGATCTCCAGGACCCACAGAAACCCTGGGACCCAACTAGAAAGACAGATTTTTTTAAATTTACTTTCAGGTATCAAATAATAGGCAAATAAGTTACCATTCATGGATGAATCTCCTTCATCCTCCTAGCTGTGATAAGAATTAGTGTGCATCTTTTACAGATGAGTAAACTGAGGCACTGGTTAAGTAGTTCATGCAATGTCACAAGGACAGGGCAGGGATTTGAACCCAGGTAGACAGATCCCACAGCTCAAGTTCCTAACCACTGAGCCAAACAACCAGAAGCTTTACAATATTTGACCCTGAATTTACCAAAGTTGGTAAAAACTACTGTTTGGGAGTAGACTATAGATCACCCAAGAGATACTCTACCCAAAGCAGGGACCCAAATATGTCCATCCCACAGTGTCATGTGCCTTTAGGGGAGGTTTGGCCAGGCCTCCGCGGTGGTCCTGCGCTGGGGCTCAGACACACCCTCTACCAGGCAGCTATGCTCAGTTAGGAGTGCCCGAGGACAGGCATGTAGGGGGTTGGGTCCTCTCCTAGGCAAGTGCAGAGAGGCTTCTGGGGCTGCAGGGGGTGGCAGGGACCTTCCTAAGGATCATTCAGAGCAGAGCAGGAAGGTAACTGGCTCCCAGAAATGCTAATTTCCAGTTACCTGAAATGTTGGCTCCCAGCTGCCCATTCTAAAGCCCCCTGGAGTTCTCACCCCACCAACCCCTCTGCCCGCCTTACTATTTCCTGCCCACCAGAAGGGGTCACTTGGACGCTCAGGGCAGGGCATCCTCTAGCCTCCTCTCCTGGGACCCTGTCAGTGGCGACCATGGGATACAGGGGAGGAAGATTTATGACCATGGAGTGTAGAATATGCTGGAGAAAGCCGTTCTGTGCAGCCCTCTCTCCTCCCTATGCTCCTCTTTACTCCCCCTTTTCCTTCTCTCTCATTCTCTCTTCTAGAACCTAGATAGTTGGGTCTGGTTGAGGCAAAGAGATGGATTTACAATTTCAAACCCACCCGGACTGTTTCCTTGCCTCCCCTCTGTTCCAGGTGACTCCTGCCTCCTCGTTCTTCCTACCAGAACCCACTTCCCACCCTCTAGCTTTCAGGAGACCACCTGAGTCAGGCCCTCCTCAGGCTGATGGATCATGTCCCTTGAGAGGGAAGCAATACCAGGGGTGATCCCAAACTACATCCCCCAGGCACTCAGATGCATCCCTAGGTACTTATTAGGCAACAAGTTTGCATGCTTTGGACACCTCCACTTTCAGGGAGCAAACAGAAGGGGCCAAGTGCTACTGCCTTACAGGAATCATCATAGCCACTTACTGAGCACCTACTATGTGCCAAGCAAGTGCAACGTAGTGTGCTGGGTGCTTTGCGATGCTCTACTCCTGGAAGTTGACTCCTCCAACGGTATTTGTTGAGAATCTGCTACGTGCCAACCACTCTTCTAAGCATGTGAGCTCCCTCAGCAAGTAAGATTTCTCGAATACAGGTTCACTGTGTGTCCCATTGACAAATGGGGGCGATGGAGGCTAAAAGTTTGCCCCAAAGGGGGGAGCAGCATCCATTTCAACGTGTCGGACACCAAAGCCACCATGCCATGTGCTCTCTGCCTCCTCTCCTCTCCACTGCAGTGCAGGGTTCACGGGCGGGGAGCCAGGGTGGGGATCCCTGACCTCAAATGCTCATACAGTTGCTTTGGGGGAGGAGGGGTGAAGTCTGCACACCTGACATGTCTTCAGAGGTTGAGTGCTCAGTCTGTGAGTGACCCCCTGGCCCAGGCTGAGTACTCAGGACCCAGGGGACACAGAAGACTGTGTGATTCGGGCTGGGTGTCTCATGGGTGAGAAGGATGGCTGGAAGTGGGGGGGGCAGGAGGCTAGGCTTTTCAGGATGGGGGGACACGAACTGACTGAGATGAAGGAGGGGTGAAATCAGGATGGGGAATCGGCTGTTCAGAGCTCAGCGGTGACAAGGATCCGGAGACAGCTCTGACACAAGCCTGACAAGCTGGGAGGGAGCATCAGGCGCAGGGATGTGTGCTCCACAGGGGAGGGAAGGCAGGCCATGGCAACTGTTGATGGCTGAGGAGGTGAGACTGGAGCTAGTGGGCCATCAGGAATCTCCCAGCAGAGCAATGGCAAGATGCAGATGGTGTCAGGAGATAATTCTGATAGCGATGTGTGGGACCGTGGTGGAGACATGTGGGAGCTATCATAGGAGACCCAGGAAGGGCCCAGCATGGGGGTGGGGGACAGCTAGGTTCCACCTTACCAGCACTCACTCCCACTCACCCTCAAATCCCCTCAGTCCCTCCCCTTCTCACCCATCAGCCCAGTTCCTCTGGTTCTGTCTACACCACCCCCCGACACCCACACACACCAATGCCACAACTTTGGAAAAGAGGCCGTGAGGGTGAGTGAAGGGTCTGACCAGAGAGGGACCTGGACAAAAATGGGGTGGGCGACTTGGAACAAGGGCAGAGCCAGGACTAGGGAAATGCTGTTTGTCATTTGGGGCGGGAGGAATGGCCTCTCCAGGGGAATGTCAAGGGGGGCTGTGCCTGGGCTACAGTACCCCTCCCAGCCCCAGCCAGGCAGTGACAGGAGGCCAGCCCTAGGCCATGCCTGCACTAGAGAAGAATCCCCCTTCTCCACCAGTACCCCCTTACTGCTTGGGGCAGCCTTCTCCCCCAGGAGAAACTGGGGGAGATACCCCCAAAGTCTGTGTGACATGACTGAGGATTTCGAGGTGGTAGCCCACAAAAACACACCTCGCCTCCCCTACTGGACTCCAAAATTCCACACTCAGTGTTCTAGTCCTTTGGCTTAAGATTTTGTACCTAAGTTATTGTTTGTTTGTTTGTTTGTTTAATAATGCCACTTGAAGTTATTATCAGTTATCCACAGCTCAGTATGAATGAACCAATCTGATCCTTTTCCACGAGTCAGTTTTGCTGTTGGAGGTGAAGAAAAGCTTTAAATCCTGGGGTCTAGGACAGGGGTGGGTGGGGAGGGGAGGAGGGTGGTGGGGCAAAGGAGCAGGGAGAGGAGAAGAGAGAAGGGCACAGAAGGCAGAGGCTGAGAAGGATGGGGCAAATCACTCACTTCTCCATTTGGGGAGGAGTTGATCAGAAATAGCCTGGGATAGCCTTTCACTACCTCCTTCTCCTTCCTCGGGCGCCTGGACCCCCGTTCCTGTGTCTGCATTTCTCCTCTCAGCAGCCTGGAGTGCAAACTTTCCGCGATACGACCCCAAGCCTGCCTTCCCATTCCGCCGTCACCACCCATGGCTGGGCAGGGGCTCCCGCTGGACAGGCAAGGGGGCGTCCTGGAGGCAAGGACACTCTGAAAGGGGGCGCGCGAGGGTAGACGGTCGGCGCGGCAGGGGCCGCGGGGCTCCGGGTCCAGGGGCGGGGCAGGGGGACCCGGCCAGCGGGCGGCTCACCTGCAGGACACGGTGATCTCCACCTTGGTGGCCGGGATGCTGCCCGCCAAGGAGTCGAACTCGCTCAGCGACGCCATGTCCTCGGGCTGCTCCATCGCCCACCGCGCCCCCCACCCCCAATTAGTCAATCCCTGCGCGATTCACGCCTCCTCCAAAACGACTGAAACCCTGGGCTCTCCCCCAACTCCGGAGCCGGCGCTGGGCGGCAAAGGGAGGAGAGAGGAGCGCGAAGAGGGGGCGTGGGAAGTGAGAGAGGGAAGGGGGGCGGAGGGAGCGGGGGCTGCGGGTAGAGGAGGGGGTGCGGGTGACGCGACAAGGAGGCTGGGGGGCCAGCAGAGAGGGGCAAGGTGCCCAGGGAGCTGGGGCGCAGCGGAGAGAGGCGGAGGGGCGCGGGGAGAGGGCACCGGGAGGCACGCGCGGAGTCGTGGAGCCGGGTATGGGGAGAGGGGCGTGCGGCTTCGGGTGGGGACCGAAGGGGTGCGGGAGAGGGAAGAGGGGCGTGGGGGGCCGGATCGGGCGCGGGCGGCGGGGGTGGCCGGACGCCGGCAGCGCGGAGCCCGGAGCGCCGGGGCCGCGCCGCCTCTCGCTGGGTCTCGGCGCGGGCAGCAGCGGGGCCGGGGACCCGGCTGCGAGCGCCACCTCCTCGGCTCGGGCTCGGGCTCGGGCTCCGGGGCGCCCGGGCTGCGGGAAAATCAAATCTGCCCGAAGCCGCCGCCTCCCGCCAGCCGGGGCGGGCTGCGTGCGGGGTCCGCGAGCGCCGGAGGGGGCGCCCGCAGGGGCCGGGGCGGGGCCGCGGGCGGGGTCTGCGCACGGGGTGTGAGTGTGTGTCTGTGTGAGCGTGAGTCTCTGTGTGTGCGTGTGTGTGCGCGCGTGGCGGGCGTGGGGACGCGGCTCCAGATGCTGGGAGCCTGGGGCGGGAGGGTGACAGCCAGAGACGGTCCGGGTGGTGCACTTCTCCCTCTGCGCCCACCCCCGCCCCCACCCCCTCAGGGGTTCCCGACTGGCAGAGGGAGAGGGTTTTGTGACCCACCGCGCGTCTGTTTGGGAAGGGTCTGTGCGGGGCTAGGTGGGAGCGACCTGCGCAAAAGAGACATTACCTCCCCCAAGAAGCTTGGGGAGCTCTTTCCTGAGGGTGCGCCCCACGGGGCGGGGGCGGAGCGGGTGTCAGTCTATAAACAGAATCACATCTCTTCTGGAGGTGTGTGGGGGCTACCCAGTGCCCAGAGGGGCCTCCTCGGTTTCCCAGGGAGGGCCTTTGGGCCTAGGCAGGGTCTGTGCATGGTTGTTCCTTCATCCTCCTGTGGCTCCCGCCGGGCCTGGCCACCCCGAGTCAGCCACCTAAGCCATACGTCAGCTCCCTCCGCATCCCCGGCCTGTCGTGATCACACAGCTGACCCAGCCTCTGGGGTCTAGAAGCTTCCTCCCACCAGACTGAGAGGGTGGCCGGACCTCCCTGGGCTCCTACCCAACCAGCACCGAGTAGGCGCCTGCCGTGTGCTGGGCTCTGATCCCTGCCCTGAGAGTGAGGGGACAGTGGAGACACCTCTCAGGCGCCCCCCACTCCAGAACCAAGCCCTTCATGGCCTCAGGGCAGGACAAGGCCCCACCCTGCCTCAGCATGGCCCTTCCAGACCCAGGGTCGCCACGCTGTGGCATATCCCCGGGGCTGCACGCATAGACTTGCCTCCAGAAAATCCCCCGCAGCCCCTCCTCAGCCTCAGTGCAAGCTTTGTTGAGATGGAGCCCCCTTTTCTGCTCCCACCGCACGACGCCCAGGGAGGGACCCGGGGAGGGACCCGGGGAGGGACCCAGGGAGGCCGAGAGCCTGAGGCTGGACCCAGAAAAGCCATGCCCTCTGGGCCATGCCTTTGGTAGCTGGGCCCTAACTGGCGCGGGGAAGTCAATTCTCAGAACATTAGAAACAGCCAGAGTCAAAGATGAATATAAGAACATATTCCTTGGCCTAGGTTAAGTGTTTCCCGTTTAGCCACAGCTCCCGTTAGACTGAACTCCTTCTGCTACCTGGGACTGACACCAAGGGGGAGAGGCGCTGGGATCCCCATGGCAGTGGGGCAGGTGTGGGTCTGAAGGCCCCACTCTTGGTTTGGGCCTGTGGCCCTATCTCCCCAGAGAACAAATAATTCTGGCTTCCTTTCCTGAGAGATGCAATACTGGGCTTGTAATTTCTATGCCCTCCACCCTTTCACCCCCCACATAGCTCTCCTAGACAATGTTCCAAACAAACTTGTGGAATATGTTATCCATTCATTCCACCAGTATTTACTGAATACCTACTATGTGCCTGGCCCGCTGCTAGGGCCACTTGAGAAACTTCTTGCTAACCACCATTTTATTTTCAAAGAGCCTACTCCTGCCTAGACACCATGCTTAATTTGTTTTTTAAGATATTATTCCCATACAATAAAATTTACCATTTTAAAGTATACAATTCAGTGGTTTTAGTATATCTCACAAGGACGATATATGATTTTAAATTCTCAAAATATTATAGGTGTGAGGCATTACTATCTGCATTTAATACATAAGGAAGCTAGTGGCCAGAGAGTCTAAGGAACTTGCCCATGAACACCAGGTGGGAACTGGTAGAGTGAGAATTTGAACCCTGGTCGTTGGGACCCAAGTTTGCCTCTTGGGATGGGGCCAGATGATGGTCTTAAAAACCAGCTATGAAATCAGGTGCCTACTCCCAACCATAGGGAGCCATTGCAGGTTGTTCAGCAGGTGAGTAGTGAGACTGAAGCTCTATCATGTTACCTTGTAATGTGACAGCAGCTGGGAGAACAGCCCCAGGGCCTCTTTCTAGGATTCTCTACTTGTCTGTTTCTCTGCATTCTCTCCCAGCCATTGCATTTCCACTGCTGGGTTTTGGCAAAACATTGTCTTGGGTACCTGTTCTGTGCCAGGGGCTGTCCTAGGCTCCTAGCATAAAGAGGCAAGAAAGATTTTTGTCCCCAAAGAGTCCACAGGCTAGTAGGGGTCCCAGGACATGCAGACATTTAAGCCACAGTGCAGCATGAGGGGTGCTGTTGAGGTAGGTATAAAGGCCCTGGGAAGGGAAGAGAGTGGCCAACAGTTCTGCCTCAGGAGTGGAACAAGGGACAGTCAGGGGAAACTGCAAAAAGAGGTGATCTGGGGGTGCCTGGGGGGGCTCTGTCAGTTAAGCATCTGACTCTTGATTTCAGTTCAGGTCATGATTTCAGGGTCGTGAGATTGAGCCGGCAGCAGACTCCGTGCTGGGTGTGGAGCCTGCTTAAGATTCTTTCCCTCTCCCTCTGCCCCCCATCCTTCCATGAGCACTCTCTCTCTAAAAAAAAGATGATCTTGAGAAGGGCATTGAAGATGATGTCTGTTTGGTCCCTCCAGAAAATGACCCTGAGAGAAAGATTTGAATGTAAGTAGTTTATTTGGGAGAGGAAGGAAACACCCTGTGGGGAGGTAAGACACGTAAGTAGGCAATACGGGTGGTTTAGCAAGCTGGTTATCACGGGGCAGCTAGGGCTCATTCCCACGGAGGAGCGCTGGCAGACTAGGCAGAACACACCTCAAACTTAGCCCGCCAGAGGGGTGAGGGAGCAGGGGTGTGCATACACCAATTTTTTGTCAGTCATTGGCTCAGTGGCTGACGGTTGCTGTTTTGTGACAATGTGGCTGGAACACAGGGTGAAGGTGGAGGCAGTAGAACTCAAGGCCTGGAGGTGAGGGGCCATGATGCAAGGCCTCCTCCAGGCGCAGGACCTTTTCAGAAGGAGACACTGAAGGACGGGTGGTCTGGAAGACCCCCGTCAGCTACATGGCCAACAGAGTGAGCCCCAGAACACAAAGCTGGCTGGTCAGGCCCAGGGCAAAATGCTCACAGTCCTTGCTCAAATGAATTGCCAACGATTTAAAAGCAGCCAGCAGGCATGCCGTTTGATGGGTCATTTCTCCTTTGAGGGATTGGGTAGTGCCAAGTTGCTGAGGTCACCTGGGATGCTCAGGCAAGCCAGCCGGCAGGCCAGCAGGTGCTGGGAATGTGTTGTCTGGGCCCGGCAGCCAGATCGGAACCGACCATTGCTCTGGCACCGCCGGCCACGTAACCGGTGCTCGTCCCTCTGATTAAAAACTGTGAGCACGGAATGGGCCATGCCCAGAAGATCTGGAATAATCAGCATCAGCGCTTTGCCTTTGCCATCCAAGGCTGCAAACACGCTCTCATCTGACCTAATCCGCGGTGTTAATGATGGCAGAGCAATTTCGAGAGGCAACTTGCCGCATTGATAAGAAGAGGAAAAGCACCACGGGGTTTAGGAGGCTGAGATCCTCACAGAGGAGCTAGCTGCTACCCACCCTCTCAAGACCCTTCGTGTAAATGTTGCCCTCAGATCTGCCCTGGGTCAGACTCGTGATGGTAGAAGAAGAGGGACACAGAAGAGCGGAAGAAGGACTCTGCGTGGGACAGGACAGTGGCAGCTGCCCATCCTGCACCTTAGAATAAACTAGAAAAATGTGTTCTTTACTCTGGGTAAATGAAACCCTGAGCCCAACAGGGCACATGGCTCGTTGAGCAGAGTGTGGGCTGGCTTTGAGCCTCCACTTATTCCCTTGGCTGGGTGTCATTGTGCGGTGAATACCCTCCACCACCATACGTGGCAGCCCTGGGGAGAAAAGGAAAGATAGAGGGCATGACAGAAACCTGAAGCCACCATGGCAGTAAGGAGGTGGGAGAGATGTAGTGTCTGATTCCATCCATTAATAGAAATGCTAGAAGGGGCTTGGTTGGAGACCATCCAGTTAAACCCCTTCTTTTACTAAGAAGCTTAGAGAGGGAGAATGATGCACTCAAGGTCACCTGAACTCTTCCTCTGATAAGAAACTCCACCAATAACAGCAAGGTCAGGTGCCCAAGAACAGCAAGGACCTGCCTGAGAAGGTGTGGGGAGAAGCCATGTTCTATTGGGGTAGAGGAAGAAGCCCAAGCTGGCCACAGAGCTCTCCACACCTCCAAACACCATTCCTCCCTGAGGGTGGCGGTCTTCCAGCCAGACGCCCTACCATCCCAACCAGAACCCCACGCTGCCCCTCCCTTCCGCTTCTC